ACAAAAAAAAATAAAAATAAATTCCAAACAGGTATGTCAAAGCCAAACGACAGTGCTTTGTCGTGCCAATAACAACTGCAATTACAATATTGATTATAGCTATTAAGTATAAACATCTGGCTAATGTTTACGCCAAAGTGACCATATAATATATGTAAATACACGCCTTTTGTTTACTACTTTGTGCTTAAAGTCGCTTTTTCTCGTTCCGCTTCAGCATGGATTTCTATTATATGCCCGCTTCTGCGCCCTGCCGTGCTGTGCTCCTAACTGCTCAGTGTGTCGGCATTGAGTTGAACAAGATACTTCTCGATTTGCGTGCTGGCGAGCACTTGACGCCCGAATTCCTGAAGATCAACCCACAACATACGATACCCACACTGGTCGACAAGGACTTTGCGCTCTGGGAATCACGCGCCATCATGATCTACCTAGTGGAGCAATATGCCAAGACCGACTCTCTCTACTCCMAGTGCCCCGAAACGCGTGCGACCATCAATCAGCGTTTGTACTTYGACATGAATCTCGCTTTAACATTCGGCAAGTACTTTTAYAAGCCTGTAATGTCCAAGACCCCATTCGATCCAGAGCAGCGCAAGCAGTTGGAAACACAGTTGGAATTATTCAACACCTTGTTGGCAGGGAATAACTTCGTGATTGGTGAGACGCTGACTTTGGCTGATTTGGCACTTTTGGCCACAATTAGCACCATAGACGTGGCACAATGCCTGAAAGACTTCAACGTCAATGTAAGAAAATATGCACACATCCAAAAGTGGTATGAGAACATGCGAGCGGTCACACCTGGCTTCAAAGAGAATCAAGAAGGTTGCTTAGAGATGAAGAAATTCTTAGAGGGCCAATAAATATCTACATGTGCACATGTGTGTATGTGTGTACCTATGTATATGTACGGTTTGTATTTTACAACTTTTATAAAGTTCCGCAGTATTGCCCAAATATGTACGAATATATGTATGTAAATAAATCTGTATATTCACATTAGACCAGAGTAGAACATTTTTGAAAAGAAAAAAAGATCATGGTTGGATGAAACTCACGAAAAACGGAAAAACTCTAATTTTCAATCGWAATATCTCACTTTTAAAAATGTGAGTAAGCCTTATAATTGCTAAAATCATTTCCTCATGATGGTATTTTTCAGAAAACCCCCGCTAAACAGCCAGAAACGAAACTGCTTGTTTACTGCTGCGACTACGAAATAATATGCCGACTTTTAATGAATTTCTTTTTTGTTTTGTCATTTTCAAAGGCTTTAACACTAGTCTATTTGTGAGTCAAGCGAATAAATGTAAAAACCAGTTTCTTCTCTTTGTACTCTTATGTGATCGTTAGTGTTCTCTTATTGGTTGRAGAATTCTCTACGGGCATAGTTGTTAGCCAACTTCGTTGCTGTCTATCCAGGCATTGACCTCCATTGTTTTATAYACGTTGCACTCGCCAACAAAGTGTCGTTTTCCGACTGTTTTAAGAGAAATAAAATGAGAATTGAAATGAGACAAGTTTTAGTTTTCAATCAGAATTTCTAACAATTTTTGCCGGTAGTAATTGATAATTCATGATAAACCTTACTTTAATAAGAGTTATGTTAAATGCTTCGACATTTGATAACGTCGAAATGAGTTTGTGTATATGCTCCAAACAGCTTTCTTATTCACCTTGGGAATGTGTATCTTATGTGAATGGAAAGTTTACCCTTAGATTTCGCAAGAAATTTGAAAAAAGCTGGTTGAGTTCCTGGCACTTTTCAAATACGTGCCCGGCATTAACTAATTTGTATCACAATCTTTTGAGAGAATTTTAATGACATAAATGACGATTTTCGGACTTCAAAGTCTATTTCTAAGACAGGGATTGCGAGAAACCATTAATAGCGAAGGAATCAGTTTTAAGAAATGTCTTCTCCAACGTCACTGGAGAGCATCATAAATCATTGTTCTCAAGACGGCTTACCACAATCAAAAGTCACAAGTTTAGAAATCCAGGCTTCGCCACCGTAATATGTTCTATAAACTTTAAGTTCAAAAGAGTTTGTACATATGGACACATARGTATGTATGTTTTTATGTCCATTCATAATAATTATGGCATGTGACGAAATTGTTAAAAGCATTCAAAAAGTGAATAGGTTTCACTCATATCATCAAAAAATATCAGTGAGCGAATTAGATTGTTCTGCATCAGCTGAATTTCCGGCAGGGAACCTTTGAATTGCATAACTTCATATCGTTATCTTATCTCTCTTAAATACAACTCAATTTATTTCCATAAGTGCACTTAAGTAATTTCAATCAATATAATTATTTTTAAAATTATCGTTTATGGTTTTAAACCTTTAAAAGTTCCATATAATCGGATATATATACAGTAAGGAATAAAACTGTTCACGAATATAAAAATTTAAGGGGTCAGTCGGGTAATATTTTTTCAAAAAAATGTAGAAACTCACTTTACCATTGGAAGCTTACGAAAAAGGCTCAAAAATAATAATTAGGAGTAAATCAATTGTTCAATTTTTATGTCCATGTATGCTTTTTCAGTACCTTGAACTTTAAACGCATTTTTCTCACCACACATTTTTTTTTTAACCTGATCAATTGTTTTAGGAGAAAAAAATAACGTTGTGGAAACTAAAATGGTAGAGAGTTGGTTTCAGTGACAAGACAGTACGATGATGCTTGAAAAATATCGGGAAACATTTCACCATGAACGATTTGAAAAAGTTACTTGTATAACTATAATTAAACGAATATGAGCAGATGGGCTCTCATGGACACGAACCGACAAATAAGTTGGTGTACAGATCACGATGGCTTGGGGAAGTTTTCGCGGAAATGTTCTGTGTGTACTTTGGATAGATGATTCAAAAATGTATGCTGCAGATTAGATTGATATTCTCGAATACTTATAATAWAATCGGACTCGATATTTTCATGCAGGATAACGATCCGAAACATATCGAAAAAATTGTCAAGTCGTAGTTTTGGGATAGTGGGATAAATTTGCTTCACTAGCCCCCCCCGGGTCTAATATTTAAACATCATTGAGCAGCTTTGTGCCATTGACAGAGGAAAATTTGTGCCGAAAAGGACAAATGTATAGTCTTTAAGTAAATGAATTGTAGAAACGGGCTAATTTTTTCCACAGACCATATTCCCTGGGTAGCAGAAACTGCAAATTATTCGTCGAATACTTCGAATGTGACAAGAACTTTATTCAGTTCTTTCATATTCTAACAAATCAGGGACCGGCACTATCTCTAGATTAGACKTAAAAGATAAAAATTCACTCTGTGTTTCTGTTTTATCGTTATCAGTTTCACTAATTACAGCGGAATGTATTACTTAATGAGTACGCCATAAAACCTATCCCTGTAGTGTATTGCTGATGACTTGCAAAAACWTAGACGTATAGTTACATATATTAAAATTCTGTCACAGTGCCACAATAATAAAATTAAATTCTCTAATAACTTTTGCATGTGATGTCAGTTAGTTCTGAGTTCCAAATTTTATTTCTTCACTCTAGTCATAAACAAAGTTCTAATATTGTTTTTGGCATTCGACTAAAAATTTAAATAAAGTAAGCTGAGTCAAACATGAAAAAGAACACATTAGGGTGGGTAAAAAAAAAATTAACCTTGTGCTCTAAAAAATAGACACTAAGATACCTCTACCGAAAAATCATAACAGATCATTTCTGTGAAGCATTAAATTTCTGTGAAGCATTAAATTTTCTTTTTAAAATAATCCTTTTTTCTTTGAAACATCCTAATATACATACATATGTGTACCATACTAAATAATTAAAAAGGAAATATTTGAAATATATAAWAGAAGATTTRACCATTCATAAAGAGGCGCCATTAKATTAATTTTCAGGAATATTTAACAAAGTGACAAAAATAGTAGGAGTGGAGTCGTTATCGACCATATTTACTTCAAAAAACAAAAATAAAACAACTGRTGCCTTCAACGATTGGTCTCCTACTATTCCATCTCTAAATCGCCACTACGCCAACTAGTTAAATTAGATTAGTTGTTTGCTCGATTCGCCAAACCTTAAAAAGTGGCTACAAAACGCTTTGTGAATCCATCATCTGACATTCATCAATGGTCCATAATACAAATCTTTACCACAAACGCTTCATGATCGAAGTTCTATGTTTTATTATTATTTTACACGCCCTAATGTATTAATAAATTTAAGTTTTGCGTGAAGTACACTATCTGTATKCTTACTCTTTTTCCCTATTTATCAACCACTCATAGAGAGAAATCTCTCTCTACAATGCTGTTTACTATAACTTATCTAAGAATTTGTAATGACACCTGAATGGGCCGGCGACGATAGACAGCACCATAATTATTTCATAATATCACTATGAAATCGACGCGCTCTTATCGCGAATTTAAAAAGTGTTCATACATATGTACATAYATGCATACATATAGTATGTAGATTTTATAACATAGGCACGATCAGTTATGGAATTTTACAGCTGCTCTTCAATACACGTGCCAATCAACAAATAAATGACATATCAACAAAACCACCAGCAGGGCAACCCAGCTAATTTTTGAAAAGTTCAAATTTCTGAAAGTATTTTTAATTTATTAAATATGCTTTAAAAATTTCCAATGAAGTTGTTTTGTATGTAATTCTATAGTAAATATTTAAATAAATTAAAAATAACAACAAGAAAATAAAAGGCAAGAACCCGGTACAACAAATAACTTGTTTAATTAATCACTGATCTAAGTTAAGAGGGAGGGTAGAAGGTGGAGTCTTCTGTCGGGAGCTCTCCTTCAACTATAGTTTCAGACCGCCAGACCACTGTAGCGTCTTTCAACTCACAATTCAGACAGGTATACATTCACTCTGATTGCCGAGTGGCTATGCTGACGTCAAAACTTGTTGCGGAGTCCATGACCACGTTAGAATGACCTAGCAAAGTCACTGGGATTGATATTAATCCACATAATACATTTTTGGTAAGTTTTACTTGTCATACAGACAGTTATCTATGTTTGTTTGTTTTGTCAGCTTATTTGAATCTGAAACAACAATATCGAAGACTCAGAAGATGGCTTAAGTTGTTAGTAGAGAACAATTCAATATGATCGCATCCTCTCATGGCATTATTAACACTTTCGAACAAATTAAATTTCAGAAGATGTAATGTATTGCAAATTCTAATTTCTGTATATTCTACGATTCTCTGAGCAACATTTGAGTACAGATGTGTTTCAACGTATATGCAGCCACTATTATATGATAGAAATGATGAGAGTGCTACTTGGTTGCTTTCGTTTACATACATATGTATTTACATATACCATAAACATTTGAATGAAAGCTAAATTAGCCGTTTAATAAAATCTTTAATATTACGGGAGAACCATTTAATATATACTATGTTATAGATATTATATGTTGTTCGTTTTTTATAATCAAAAACACATTTATTTATATTTAATCGTAACTAGTTATGGTTCTAATTACACTTGRGCTGAAAAGATGGAAACCAGTGAAATCTACATAGGGACTGTTGTGTCGCTCTTATACGCATAAACTCTCAACAAACAAATCGTTTGAATGTGTAAGTTTGACGGCCACTGTCGGAATGGAAAAGGCACTGTTTGCGACAGATTCGCAGTTGTGTATAGTAGGCGAGAGTGCCAGCAACCGTATCTATCAAAATATAAGGTAAAAAAACATAATTTATTTCCATTTATATAAAATATGAAAGTATGTATGTAAATATAATACAAAATTTGAAATTTTAGTCGCCATGGATTTCTATTATGACCTCATATCTGCGCCCTGCCGATCAGTTCTACTGCTCTCCAAAGCATTGGGTCTTGAGTTGAATCGCAAAACTCTGGACTTGAGTAAAGGTGAGCACTTGACAGCTGAATTTCTGAAGCTCAATCCGGAACATACCATTCCGACGTTGGTGGACAATGGCTTCTCGGTTTGGGAGTCACGTGYTATACTTATCTATTTGGTCGAGAAATATGGTAAAGACGACGCGCTGTACCCGAAGAGCCCCAAAGAGAGGACTATTGTCAACCAACGTATATTCTTCGATCTGAACTTGTATGCAGTCTTCAGCAATTACTACTATCCCATCGCTAGAGATAAGCAGCCGCCAGTGGCAGAGGACTTGTCCAAGCTTGAGGATAAATTGGAAATTTTAAATTCATTCTTGAAGGCGCAAACATACGTCGCTAACAATAGCTTGTCGATTGCCGATTTCACCTCGTATGCTACTGTCTCGACCATAGCGACATGTTTGGATTATGATTTGAGCAAATACCCAAACATTGCCCGTTGGTTTGCACACCTCAGCAAAACACTAGTCGGTGCTGATGAAAATCAGAAAGGTTGTGATTTATTTAAGGTATATATTTGGTAATTGACRTTTCAGCGCTTCTACTCATGAATTGCGGAACAATTGGGAAATATGGAACGCTTGGAATAATAAAGATAAGTGCATAAACACATTATAGTCATCATCAGTTTGTAGCTTATCAGTTCAGTTTAAATAAATATATTACCATATTGGTATGTTTCTAGTACCGCAGAATAACCTTGTGTTGATTTTATTATATCATCGTACATGCTATTGGAAAACGAAAGGTGTGTGTGTATACACCACCTCAATCGTTGTTTTAGTGGAAAATTAATATGTGGAGGTACATAGATCAGCTGAGAGCACAGGACTTATACTGCTCTGTTTGGCTCAAAAATCCAAAACCGGCACTAAACCTGCCACCTATAAACGTCTTCGCTGGAAACGGCGGGACGATGGTTACCTCGTATCACATATCGGCCAGAAGTGTCTTGGAAAGCAGGATAGTAGTGGAAAGTGTCGCCAGAAGTAAGCAACATAACTTCTATTGGGTGCTAGGCCACAAAGGCATCGAGGAAAACGAAATAGTGGACGAGATTGCCAACAATGATCCGAAAACGTGAACAACATTGGGAATCCCAYGCATTGCCTGTACGACGATCTGGACAGAAGCATGATCGGAAGTACACAGCATTCCTATTGCCATTGCGATTAAGAAACTGTAGGAGCATAATGAGAATACTGACTGGTCATTGTCTGGTGGTGACACAAACCCTGAAGATGGGGTTGACAGATCGAAAAGACCGCAGGTAATGCCCAGAGCTGGGCACCAGGGAAACAATGGAGCATCTCTTTTGCACTTATCTCTCATTGGCAAGACTACGCTGTTAGTATACGATGACTGGTGCTCTTGGACTTAGCAAGTGAACTCCAACTGGTATCGCAAACCAAACTGGTTTAGGCATGGCTTGTTGGCCTACCAGATAAGCCAAACCTAACCTAATATCGTTAAGATATCTTAAATACTGACTGCTATACACACATGGTCAAAATAATAAGTWCAATAAATTCTTTTTTATTCATGTTTAAAGAGAAATAATATCATATTTCAATTAATATATGRCTTAAATAATAAAAATAAAGATATTTGTACTAATACTTGAAATAGGTACTTCAATTTCTAGCAAATAGTGAAAAGACTAAAAAAATGGCTGGACAAAATAATAAGTACATCAGGTATCTGTGAATGAAAAAATGTATCACTTTGATTTTTCTGTTTCCCAATGTATTTTTATTCATTACTTTCATCCATATCTAGTATATTCGCCATTATATTCAATTCCTTTTGAGATCCGTTTTGGCATACTGGAGATAAGTTTGTGGCACGTATCAATTGGAATCTCATACCAGGTTTTTTCAACAAAATTCCCTAACTGATCCTTATTTTGGAACGGTTGCTTCCAATCCGTTGTTTTAACTTCCCCAAAGGTTTTCAATTGGATTCAACTCGGGAGMTTGACATGGCCTTTTAAGAAAAGATACACCGTTGTCCTGGAACCAGTATTTTACCAACCTACGCCATACCACGAAAAGCAGCCCCAGGCCATTATGTTGTCGCCACCGTGTTTAACGGTCCTTTTTGTAGACTGTGAATGCAGTTCTTTGTCTTTCGGACGACAACCGCTGCGTATATGTTAAAARGTTAAACGGAATTTCAGAAATTATTTTATTCAGAACAGTGGCGCTGAGAGAAGTACACATTAGAAAGAAAAGATAATTTMCTTGCTTAGCAACACGCCTCATTATTGTCAGTGAAAGGTGTTCACTTAAATTTATGTGTGAGCACCTATAGTATTTTTGTTGGTTGTAGTTAAACTTTTTTACTTGGAGTGAAGTCAAGTGATCACATTGCTTATAAACTTAACTCAATCCCTTTACTAATAGGGTAATTTTCCTTTATAATATGAAATCCGAAGAGTTCTCAGATCGTAAAAACTGGAAAATGTACATATGTACATATGTCTGACATAGTTCAGCGAATTAAAAGACAGCGGCTACGTTGGCTAGGTCATGTTGTTCGAATGGACGAAAACACTCCAGCTCTGAAGGTATTCGAGGAACAGGAAGACCTCCACTCCGTTGGAAGGACCTGGCTACGCTTGGAATATCCAAATGGCGCCACGTAACGAAAAGAAGAAACGACTGGCGCGCTGTTGTTAACTCGGCTATAATCGCGTAAGCGGTGTCTACGCCAATTAAGAAGAAGGTATGTACCAGTGATCTATGTACATATGTACATAAGTATGTAAGTCGTATTCCAATTTTAGTCAAAACTGCGGAATTCCCAAAAGACGGGAAGTGAACTCTAAAGGAGAATAATCAGCTGCTCAAGAAYGGGACAGAAGACATCGTGTTTGTGGGAAAGCTTTTCTACCAGCTCGTCATGATCAATGGGAAACACTGGCGTTTGGTCCAAGTATTTTGTGGCTTCGCAGAGTATCAAAACTCGATTGTATGTATTTGTGTAGATATGTCGTATGATTGTATATGGTTGAGAATTTTTCTGTGGTATGACACACATGCATATGCGTAGAAAAGTAGAGAAATATCGGTGCTCTGAATCATCTCAGTGAATGACATCGCAAAGGGTTTCGGAATTCCCACTTAATACTCATATGTTTATTAGGTAAATAGTTTTCTCTTCTTCGCTGATGACTAAAGAGCAGTRGTAAAGAGCCTTCTATAAAATTGTGTCAAGTCATGAAAAATAATGTAAAAACGAACATTCGAGATATAGCCAAAATTTAACTTTTGACTATGAAGTTCATCATAGAAAGTTATCAAATGAACGGTTCGCAGTATTTTAATTTTTTATTTTTCTTGTTTTTTTTTTTATTTTGTGAGATAAAATCTCATTTTTGTGTCAGGTGTTGTTTAAGATTAGAAGTTGTGAAGTGTAATATACTTTAATCTAATTGTTAATTTTGGCTGTTGAAATTTTTGTTTCTGTAGCTGAGCAGCTTAAGATAGCAACGCTTAAAACTCACTCAACAGCGGGAGGAGGGTAATCGTTGGGTATTATTATTATTATACATGTATGTATGTATATACKTAACTCACTTTTTATTATGACACTAATTTTGAATAGACTTCCTTCGCCGGCAAACTATTCAATACTGTGAAGATGTTATTTGCGAATAAAGGCGAAAACATTTTTGTCAGTAGAAGAATCCTTGGGGTTTTGAAAAAACTTAAACATGAGAAATATAAAAAATAACTGCTTGCTCAATCTCTAGTTACCAGCCTTTCTGTCCAGTTAACAAAGTTGTTCGCTTAACAGATTGTACTGAATAAACATCAACAATGTGCATGATTAATGGAATTGTCYACTTAATAGAGTGTCCATTTAATCGAGCGTTCACTGTGTTTTTTAATTATGAATTGTTTTTACAAGTTTATCTTATAAGTTGGTTCGAATTGGACACAGTGTGCTAAAATCGGTTCTGTAGTTGAGGAGTCCATCGCGGACAAACAACGTGGCACGTAATTTTTATATATAAAGATATGTGCTTTTGCATACCGGCTTATAATTGTTTCAGTGAACTATCTTACTTATTCAGCTTTTTAAGTACATTTGAATCCATTTTATAAAATATAATAATATATATAAAATAAAATGATATAATAATAATATAAATTTACGCCTGAACTCAGAAAAACAATTTTTTTTTTTGATAATTATTTTTTTAGAACTCTCGCCTTGGTTATTTAATGTTTATTTGAAATATGGCTTTTTGCATCTAAAAATATATTCCCCTGATAACAGTAAAGCAATTTTTGTTTTCTGTTTTTTGGCAAGCGATAAATTGCTAAGAGACGCCTATTTCCAGAGTTGCTCTCTTAAAACGCGRACCCTCTGCACAAACAGTGCGTCATTCGCTTAGACCGGCAATCGCTTGTGGAAAAAACAAGGCGCAAGTTGACTATAAAAGCGCCAACAACTCGCCGGTACAACAGCAGTTGTTGATTCACCGTTCGAGTTTAGACGCTTAAGGTAAGTTTAAGAGCTAAGTGCAAAGCCGATTAAAAAGTTTAAAAGTGCATATTTAATTTGTTTAGACATATAGCATAATATGTGCATCAGTATGTGCTTCATGGGCGTTTTGAAAAAAAAAAAAAAAAAAAAAAAAAATTGCTTTGGTGTGTATACTAATATTATTCGAAAATGTTATTGTGTAAAAAGTGAAAGAAAATAGGCGTGAAGGGAGATTAGTATGAGTTATGTGTATGAACGCTGTGTGCGCTTATTGCCGCTCCTATTTGGCCTTTGTTGGAAGTGAAAACCATCAAATAATAGTAACAGTTAATGTGTTTTGTTTAAACACAGCAATGGTGCGTGGAGTTTGAGAACGAAAAATTTGATGTAGAAGCCAAAAAGTTTGTTTGATTTTAAGAGACCTTGAAGACGCTATGACTAATGGCGACTGAGTAATTAGAGATATCCAAATTGCTGATTGCTGAATTCATTTGTACATTTGACTTCAGATACGAGTACATGCATATACACACGCTGCCTACTAAAACCACTCACATACAATAACTTACATTCCCCATGATTTTTAATCACCTTTTGCTTATAACAGTAATATAATGACTTGCTTTTTTCACTAACCAACTACAGCGAGTCAATTTGTTACTTGACTAAATTAAGACGCTATCTTTAAACATTTATAATAATCTTCGTCTCCCCAGATGGTCGTAATAAAAMATCTCTTTCCTATTTCAGCATTTGCCAAAACCAACACAATATCAAAATGGATTTCTACTATGTCGGTGGCTCCTCCCCTTGCCGTTCCGTCATCATGACCGCCAAGGCGCTCAACATCAACTTGAACAAGAAGATTCTGAATCTAATGGCTGGCGAGCACTTGAAACCAGAGTTTCTGAAAATCAACCCACAGCACACCATACCAACTTTGGTGGATAACGGTTTCGCTTTATGGGAGTCGCGCGCCATTATGGTATATCTTGTTGAGAAGTACGGCAAAGACGACGCGCTGTATCCGAAGTGYCCGAAGAAGAAGGCTCTGATCAATCAGCGTTTGTACTTCGACATGGGCACTCTGTATAAGAGCTACTCCGACTATTACTTCCCGCAATTGTTTGCCAAGGCACCGGCTGACCCTGAGCTGTACAAGAAAATTGAGGCGGCCTTCGAGTTGTTGGACATCTTCTTGGAGGGTCACAACTATGTCGCCGGCGACKCACTCAGCTTGGCTGATATAGCGGTTCTTGCKACGGTGTCTACATTCGATGTGTCCGGTTTTGATTTCAGCAAATATGCTAATGTGGCCAAGTGGTATGCTAATGCCAAGCAGGTGGTGCCCGGCTTCGATGAGAACTGGCAGGGTTGCTTGGAGTTCAAGGCGAAGTTCTTTCACTAAATACTCGTACAAATCTAGGCTGTAGCTTGTTGGTGCTTATTACTACTTATAATTGAAAGACAAATGTATTATTTGAATAAATACATATATACTATTTTTTTTTAAGAATATTTTTGGTAAATTTTTATTTATTGCACTATCCGCTACACTAACAAATACTCTTGCAACAGGTACTTTGCTCCTAAATAGAATAGATTTAACAAACTAAATATACATACATACAAAATATCGAAGCTTGTTGGCGTACACGCTCCCCATTGCCTTAAAAAATCGAACTGGACTTCGTATAATCCATTGGCCGTCGAAACGATTGCTCCAAGTTGTGCAGTCGCTCCTCCAGATCGTTCATGGAGTTGCGCAGTATATGGCCGCGCGGACGCAGCGAWATCTGTGGCGAGTGCTGCACCAAGTCATCCTTGACGCCGGAGAAGGAGTGTCGCACGCCCGAACGTTTCTCGAAGTGCGTGTTTTGATAGTCGTTTCGGTGGTGATGATCGCACGATGAGCTGTGCAAGCCATGTGAGCTGCGACAGTTGGACGCTACCAGCGGCTCGTCATTCTTAAGTGAGTCCTCGTAGTTGTCACTTTTAAGTGGACGGAGTTTGAGTGCGTACTTGAAGGAATATACATATTTCTCTTAATTACCTGCTATCGTTGCCCATCGCTGCCGTGCCGCTACAGCCACTTCCACTCGCAATGTTGTTGTTGCTGTGCTTATGCTTGGCATGTCTAGGGCAGAGCAAATCCGTTGCGTTCAAATTCTGCGAATGCGGTGAACTGGTTTTGAAGGAGTCCGGCGACGTCTCGTACAACTCCCGACTGCTGCGRAAGTCAACGCCCGAATCCTGACCGTTCGAGTGCAGAGAAAACATGGAGGTCTCATATGCGCTGGGTGAACTACGAAAAGTTGAGAAATGAAAAAATATAATTATACTTTGCGTTATTGAGGGCAACACACMTACACACATATAATATACTCATRCATATGTATGTGTATAAATGCTTTTATCTGAAAGTAAATATATGTATGTACCATATGTATATACATTAGGGAGGGTCGATTTCTTCCTTTCATTCTGAACAACTGTGCCTAAGAGACTACAGGCCAAAACCTAATGGGAAGTTATACAATCGGAATAATCGATTGTGTGAGAAATAGCTGGCCGATTTCGTGGATCAGACCGATGTTCAATGGTATATACGAATACGCCTACTTATTAAATTTCATTYTAATATCTCAAAAATTGACRAACAAAGTTGTATGATCCTTAAAAATTTTCGTCCTAAAAAGCACTGGTTTTAGACCCCTAGTTTCTTCGGCAAAGTTGTTCAAAATAATCCGTTAAACATTTACCGCATATGTGATTTTCCGCTCTCCTGCCTCAACCCGCCCTAATGTACATATGTATACTGTGTACATTAGACATACTCGTAGGCGGGCTCTTGAACTTAGATTTTGGTTTGTAATTGCGGCAAACACCATTGTACTGTTGCACAATTCGACATATATATTGTATGTACGTATATATATCCTAAGTTCAGCATTTCAATCCAGTATATAATATTATATACATGCATAGATACAAATATATAAATGCTAATGATTTTTTCTCACTCTTAAATGTTTGTGTTTTTTGTTTAATTTTTTGTTGTTGGTTTTTTCGAAGTGAACTTACAGATTATTCACTGGTTGCCGCACATTGTATGAGAGCACGAATGGCAGCGACGTGGGCTCGTTCTCCATTGTTATTGAGCGATTGCTTGCCGCTAACTTGGCAACGGACTTGGGAAGTGGCACATCGATATATTCACGCTGCCGATGACTGCTGGAGAAAAAAAAAATTTTTTGTTATGTGTACATATGTATGTATGTACTATGTTAGATATGATATTAATATGCATAAATATGTATGTATAATATATATATTTGTATTTTGAAATCGACTTCTCATTGTCTTAGACAAAAAATTTAAAATATTTCTTAAGACTAGTTTCTTTTTGTAAGGCACAGTTGTTCAATTATTATAATTGTCGATTAGACCTTGGAAACTTTTTGAACATAAATGAAATCGCGCGTAAGCCATAAGTACGTATCTGAGCTTTAAGCAACCATTAACGGCAGTTGTACACTTTTTTATGAGAAACTCTTTTGTGTAAAGAATATACTCAAAGGTACGAGCAATATTTGAGATAACTTTCCCTTTTTTTATTATTTCTGACTAATATTGTAACAAATGAATATGAGTCGGCTCCTTGTAAGTTTCGGAGCGCATGTTCTAGCAKCTTTTTGATTTGGCTTGAAGTTCTCCTCCACTAAACAGGGTCTTGTTATTTTGAAACTTACGATCACCAGATTACTTTCACTCTGAGCAAGTGAGTTGAAATAAATTTCAAAGCCGCACTTTTACTAAATACTAGATCTTCAAAGTATTAAGAGACTTAGAGTGAGGTTTTGTTTTGCTTATTAACATTTTTTAACATAGGGAAACTACAGGTATCGAGGATAAAGGAGCAAAGGCTTTGATATAACGGGTGATCCAAGAAGAGATACTTTTTTCTATTCGCAACATCATCACCCATCTTGGCACCCACCATTCATTATTGAATAATATTCGACCGAATAGACCACGTCCAGYATTCACTGAAGAAAATGTAGCAGCTGTGGCTGATAGTGGACACGAAGAACGTGGGGAGTCGATTCGGCGTCGTTCGCAGCAACAATGAGATCTTAAATTGAAAGCGTGCAAAATACAGCTTGTGCAACAATTGAAGCCGATCGTCCTTCAGAAAGCAACATCGCTTCCTTCTATATTTTTTTTTTGTTTAGCGATGAATCCCATTTCTGGCTCAATTGTCGCATATGGGACGAAGAGCAACCTGAGTTTGGTGTGGTTTGTGGTCCATACTTATTCAAAATGATGCCRGTGGGAACGTAACCGCTAATGGCGACCATTATCGCGCCATCATAACCGACTATTTGAAGCMTCAAATTGGAACTCGTAATYTCGGMAGCATTTGGCTTCAACAGGATGACGCCACTTCCTGTACATTGTATCAATCAATGGACTTCTTAAAAGAACAYTACGGTGAGCAGMCAATTTCACGTTTTGGACCGGTCGATTGGCCGCCAAGATCGTGTGATATCACACTGTTAGACYTTTTCCTGTGATAATATGTAAAATGTCAAGTCTAYGCGARCAGTCYCGCGTCGATTCAGGTCTTGGAGGTACACATCACTCGCCAGTTACCAGTCGAAATGCTCGAACGAGTCACCGAGAATTGGACTCAACGGATGTACCAAATGAGACGTAGCCGCGGCCAACTTTTTTTGAAAGAAATAGCCTTCAAAAAATAAATGCTAAATAATGTTCTTTCGAACGATAATAAACATTCTCCATTAAAATTGAACTTTCTGTGCTTTTTCCTTAAAAAAGTAGTGAATCTTGAAATGGATCACCCTTTAGAAGGAAACGTTGGAGTTTCTGTGAATTATCAGCGTGTCAAGCTGAGACGATTTAGTCATCAAATTTTGAGATATCGGTCTGATACACGTTGTTATCTCTTCACGAAGCTGTTAATTTTTTGAAACTGTCGATATTGGACCACTATAGCATATAGCTCTCATACAAATTGACCGGTCAGAAGACAGTTCTTGTAAGGAAAACTTTTTATTTGACAAAGTCACGAAATTTGGCGTGGATTTTTTTCACTACGTTGCTATGATTTTAAAACAAATGGTTCAGATTGGGCCACTAAAACATACATATACATACATACATATGTATGAAGCTGCGCTCTTGAAATATTTGCTTAGGGCATGAGTGTAATAAGAGTGTAAAGAGAGAAATAACTTATTGTTCGAATTAGGATTATTTTCAAGGATTTACTTAGTACGTAAACAACCGTTCTCAATATGTGATTAAATAATAAAAAACTCAAGTGGTACTGCTAGATATGGATATAGGTTTTTCTAGGACAGTTTGCAGTATTTGCTTTCACAGGCTGCACCTACTTTATTTGCTCTGGAATGCACCAATACACCTATACCCAATCAGGTCTGACCCAAATTTGAGGACACAAGTTTACCACAAACGATAAAAAGCAATAAACTGGTCTAATTCTAGACTAGACTTACTCTGTAAGATGTTGGTGGGACGCTTGTTGTTGTTGCAGCTGCTGCTGCGCATGTCCACTTTGTGTGTAGTGATTGAGATGCGAATGAAGCGCGTGATTATGGCTGTGCGGATGATGGTGTGAATGCTGGTGTGCTGGATGCAACGATTGCAATTGATTATGTGGCTGCTGGTGATGTTGCTGTTGTTGCTTATGCTGGTGCTCACTATGCGGTGAAGCAGCWACAGCCGTGGACGGTGTGTGCGACGAGGACGAACACACCGACTCTGGAATGAATGAACTTGTGGTCTTGACTGATTTACCGTAAAGTTGTACTTGTTGTTGTTGCTGTTTATGCTGGTGRTGGTGCTGTTGCTTATGCTGCAGCTGGCGCTGGCGATTGCGATTTTGACGATGGCKGCCGGCTACCGCAAGCCCGGTACGTGCAACACTGTATGTGAGACCGGTCTCCGATGAGGGAAATTCCGGCTGCGTCCAAATGGTGCTGCTAAACAGGTGGCCAGCGAACAGCGAACAGTGAATAGCGATCGGTAATCGCCGATTGACAGGCGGCAAAGTGGTAGTTGTTGTTGTTGGTATTGTTGTTGTTAAATGTGCATTTTAATGAGCATATAAAATGGTTTTGTGTAATTAAAGTGGGCACAAATAATTTGTTGCKTTTTGTAACTACATACCAACACATACATATATACTAATACTACATAAGTACATACATACGCATACTAAACCATTTGTACAAACACATACATATATACATATATAATACTTGTTCTGCATAGCTCTAAGCAATACTGTACATTATTCTAGTGGTCTTGGCCTCAAACATGACTTTGGTCGCACTTGCGCAAAACGCATAAACAGGTTGGCATTGAGGCGCTTGGACAAATGTCGTGGGCAAAAGAAACACCGCAAATATGGGTTGCACATGCTGYCGATGAACCGTTTGGTGGCATGTGTTCAACTTGCTACACATT